CGTAGAAGGTGAATGTGGCTTGAATTAAGGTCAACTAAATCTCCTCTGCGCTCTTTGCTCACGAGTGACCAAACTTTTCTTTTCGTAAATTTTCTTGTATTTGTTTGGGTTATTAATTTTCCGTATGCACATACAGGTAAGAGGTTCTCTAGTGGAGAACAGTGCAGAAATAAGAGGACCAGTTAATGATAATTTCCTGGGTGTGAGTGCGACCACAGGCAGACCATCCTCCATCTGACCGGTTTGTAAGCTTTAATATCTAACACTGCAAAGCTCTTTCTAGACTGATTGTTCAATAAAGGTTTCTAACGTCCGGACGCGACCGTGAAGCTCAGTCGTAGCCTGATTATTAGGCTTTTCGATTGTAAGGGGAGCGGGGTAACGAACGGGAGAAAGGGAGAAAAGCCTGAGCTGCCCCTCCCCTCTCCCCTCCCTTGTGAAGGCCTAATACTCAGGCTAGCTCGGTCATGGTTGGCAGTAGCGTCCAAGCATATTCGGCCTTATCGGGGAGCGTTTTGCCCAGTACTATCGTGTCCGTATTTGTTCTTTGAGCGTAGTTATTCGCCTTGTTATTCTGCGAAGTCTGTTTTCGATCTCTGACTCAGGAGAATGGCGGGAAGAACAGAAACCATGGAAACGAGCTTGGTGAATAATTGCGAGAGTACCTCTTGTTCACGTGACTTCCGCTTTTTCCGAGAAACGAAATTATCATCAGTGACGCCATAAAAATAAACGACTTTCCAAAATAACTCTTTTCGTTTCAAGGAAAGTAATCAACCAAAGATCCAAAATGCTACGATCTAAAATTCCAATATTGATTACTCTGGATCATATCCGACCCAAAGATCCAGGAATATCTCTTGGGGTAGCAAGTATTATGAGCCACCTGAGGCAGAAGAAAATCGAATACAACGCACATATTTACAACATTGCAGAGGAAACACAGGTGTCTTCGCTAGCCAGAAGAATCCTTGATACGATTTGGAGACATTACAACGATTCGAAATACGATCTCTTGTTTGGAGGTTTTGTCTGGAACGAGCCCTTTCTAAAGACGATCCTCAAGGAGCTGAAAAACTATAATTACCGGGGTCGGATTGTAATGGCAGGTCCGCAAGTCTCCTACGTCGAAAAAGGCCAGCTAGAAAAATACTATCCAGAGGCGGATGTGTTTATCCGTGGGTATGCGGAACATGCCGTGTCCGATTTAGCCGAGGGGAAGGATGATATTATGGGAGTCCACTTAGCGAAGTCCCCAGACAAGGGTCTGCACACATCGACCACTCTATCCGAGCTCGCTTCTCCATTCTTAGACGGAACGCTTCAACCGCAGTACTTCATGCGATGGGAGACAACCCGAGGCTGTCCTTACAGTTGCTCATTTTGCCAGCACAGAGATCCAGCTTCTTCGTCAAGGTCAGTGAATAAAAGTTGGACAAAACTACAGCACTCTGGGAAAGATCGTATCATATCAGAAATAGAATGGTTTGTTGACAATCATGTCAGGGACTTGGCTGTTCTTGATCCGACGTTCAACACAATAAACGGGAACATGGTGTTAGGTTTATTAGAGCGCCTTGGTTATTCAGGAAAACTCAGCCTTCAGTGTCGGCCCGAACGGGTCAACACTGCATTTTTAGATCAAGTGGAATCGCTGAGCGCAACTACAGGAGCCGAAGTGGTCTTGGAATTTGGTGTGCAAACGTTGGAAGCAGAGGAACTGGAGCACATCGAACGCGTGAGAAATGCCAACCCTCACAGCTTGGCTAAAAAAGTTTTAGAAAAGTTAGCGTTAGTTCATCAGCGTAATATCAAACACGAAATCAGCCTGATATTTGGTTTGCCTTTGCAGACCGTGGACAGCTTTCAACAAACCATTCAAAAGATCCAGGAGAAAACAGATGGATCACTAGTGGCTTTTCCGCTAATGCTGCTTCGAGGAACACCTCTGTATTATCAAAAGAACGCGTTGGGACTTGTTGAAGGTACAGACATCGCGCATCCGCTACTGGATCGAATTCAAAAATTCATCCCACATGTTGTCACAACTCCTTCTATGACATATGGCGACTGGATGACAATGGCTAACATTGCCGCTTCTTTGCAAGAGCAACAACCAGAAGAGAAACAGAATAGATTATGACTTCCGGCGACGTCCGACAACTTTCGCTTTGCGATGCACTTTGCAATTTTGTCGTTAAACCAGTGTCACGTTATTTTTAGTTTCTGTGTTTTCAAGGTTTTAACAGTCGGAGGTCCCAAAAATTTTGGACCATATATTAGGGAACTCACCCTGAATGACTTATAAAATGTACGGTATGTAACCTGATGTAATTATAAAAGGAAACATTTCATCCAAAGATTATCGCTACTGCGGCGTCGACTTCCAGAGGTCGAAAGAGTATATTTTATATGTCAGCTGACCAGTATCATGTCACTGAACAGCAAAAAATAGGTAATAGGTAATAACTACCAAAAACAGGATATAAAGCAGTTCTTCTCATTTATACAGTCGAACCTCCCGTAAGCGATCACCCAAAATGTCAAGTCTAAGTGGTCGTCCAAGGGTGGTTTACGAAAGCTAGGACTATATTGGGTCAAAATTTTGCCTCATTAGCACATGGTAACTGCAGAGACTTACCCCGTGTTTTAAACGTTTTATTTATGTAAAAAGTTAATTTCGAGAAGAAATCCGGTACTTCCCATTGGGAAATTTCCGTCTCTTGTACTACCCAGCAGTGCGATAATGTCACACTCCAATTTCAAACTTTTAGCTCTAAAAGTGGTCGCGGTCGCTTACGAGAGGTGGTCTTCCAAATAAAGTGATTTGACTTGGAAACTTTTGGTATTTTGGAAAACTGGTTGCTGAGGAGAGGTGATCGCAACCGGAAGTTCGACTGTATGTAAATGATAACTGGAGATAACCAAAAAATATATATATTGTAAGTATTTTGGGGAGTCATTCATGAATTAAAATCACGGTGATTTGAGAGCCGTAGTTCGATCCATTTGGCCACAAACTGGTGTATTCCACCCGGTACCCCACTCTATTCCTCTCTACCTTTCCCTGTCGCCAGAGTAACCCACCCCCCACCCCCGACCCTACCGACGAACCCTCCCATACACCTATTACAAAGGACGAGCGGGCACTGGATTCGACAACCGACCTTTCGCAAGAAGCAGCCGGAAAAATGGCAGTTCACCACGTTGGAAGAATGAGGTAGTTTTAGAAAGACATCTTAATTGGAAAGTGATGGCACTTAAAGTACCCAAGTCAAAGGTGAGTGTGTGTTTGTCTCTGATCGCGGTCTTTCCTTACAAATATTGATGTTTTGGGGGCTATAATCTGGTCTCCACTAGAGGCATCTTGGCATGTGATTTCAATTCTACGATCTGCTTCAACGTAAAGTCAACTCCAATACAGGAATCTGTATTTATAACACTTAAGTTTAGAATTCCTTTCTGACCAAGTATTTTCAGGGTTTTTTGTGGAGTGGGCGTCTGTAAACCAAATACTTATAAAGCTTCACGCCACATCGCGTTAGGACCATTCGATTCTACACAACCAACCTCCCCTCCCCCGTTGAGGCAAGATTAACCCCCCAAGAAATCAAGATCAAAGAGCCGACGTCAAACCTCCAGTATTCAAAGGCTCGGGTGATGTAGACAAAGTAAGCCCCTCAGAAATCACTTTTGTAGCCCACTGTAGAAAATCTTGCTAATGGGATTGTAGCCTACATGGAGGGGGGGGGGTGTTGCTATAGAATGGAATGGCCCTTACCAGCTCTATACAGGAAGTAGTTCTTATGAGGGGTATATTTGCTTGACTGTGTTACTCCAAAATACAAATCCTGGCTTGACCAAACTTACTGTTGTCCCACTGACGTGCACCAAAAAGGTAAGATCAGGTATAGATATTGTGTTATTCAAGAAAATACCGTGATCTCACAAAGTTTTTTTCATTTGAATCCCTTATAATACCCCCATTCAGGTTCAGCTTCATAAATTCTATTTAAAAAATTGGGCTTTTCAACCCCCTCCCCCCCTCCCTCCTTGAAATTTCCAGTGACCTACCTTGGACTAATTAACAATTATTCCATGAAACCGCGTTGGATATGAAGTGATAAATAACCAACGAGCGCGTAGCGCGAGTTGGTTATGATCACTTCATATCCAACAAGGTCGAATGGAATAATTGTTTTAGTATATAAGGTAAAACTCCGACTAATGGCTCATAGTCGGAGTTTTTGAGCCAATCAGAGAGCTAGAAATGCAATAGTCGGAGCTGAGAATATACTAACTATGGATATTTCCTTGAACTCCACAAAGTCCTGAGCCAAATGAATGAATCATACCCTTTTGGCTAATATCATATCTGTTATAGTAAATAATTCAAATTTTTTGTATATTTTATTTCCAGGTCGAACTTCATGTTCACCTTGATGGCGCAGTAAGGATACAGACCATTATTGACTTGGCCAAGTATGATAGTAGTTGATATTCTGTTAAGGGAATCCATGTCATTTTTATCAAATTTTCATTTACTGAAGTACCTGCTTTTCAATCAATTAATAACCTAGTGCAGGTACCTATTATTACTCATTAACACAATAACACAAGGATAAGCATTGTGCTTTAAGGATATTTCATTCTCCTTACTGTTACAATCTTGGAAGAACAAAACTAGGTATGGCGCAGTGGTGAGAGCGCTCGCCTCTTACCAATGTGTTCCAGGTTCAATTCTGGCCCAGTGTCATAATTTAGATTTATATGTGGGTTGAGTTGTTTTTGGTTCCCCTATGTTGCTCTGAGGTTTTTTTCTGGGTTCTCTGGTTTTCCTGGGTGCTTACCATTTGTCAGAATAAACCGATTGGGACGACCGTTGAATAATGGTAAGGGTTTTTCCAAAGTCAGCAAACCAACCAAGCGATATGGCACTTACCATTTGCAATTTGTAATTGTTTTCAGCTGATGAGAGACTGGAAACTGAAAAGTTTAGCAAATGGTAAGGAAATTTCTGCTGTTCTGTTCCGAATGGAAAAAGAGGACTACCTCTGGAGGTGGTCTACAATTTCCGAATGGATTTTCCGGAAAATTGGTGTTCCATTTGATTTTTAACCGAAATTTCCGCATGTTTTTGCGAAATGGTAAGCACCCCTCCCTGAACAAAAACCAACATCTCCAAAGTACAATTCGACCAGGTTGGAGGACCTGAATGAAAACCAGCTAAGACTGATGTGGCTTCCTCTCTAAACATTATAAAATATGTATTGTAAATTGCACTTGCTTAGAAGCCTTCCAGTACTGCTGTTTTTTTCTTGAAATTAGCATGAAAATAATATAAATCCTTATTTGTTAGGGCAGTCCAAGGATTAATTCTAAAAACCTGTGAGTCTTTACTCTTCACTGCTGGACTTTAATTTGTTAGTTAATATATTTATCAGTTGAATCTGTTGAGGTACCAGCCTTTATCTCTTTTTAATTGCAGGAAGAAACAATTCAAGTTGCCATCTTTCGAAAAGGAAAAATTACAAGATCTTGTGTCTGTTAGTTTGGATAAACCGTCATCTCTGAGAGGCTTTCTAGGATGTTTTCATATATTCCTCCCGCTCATTGTGTAAGTGGATGCCTGGAGCCTGATGTAGGGAAAAAGATTTAAATTATAATTTTTGTTGTTGCCATTTTTCCCATGTGTCCCACCTCATAGAGATGTTTAAATCTGTCGAGTTTCTTCAGTGTGAACTCAAGTGTGGTCAAACCCTTATCAAGACTGTGGTGTAAGAAAAATTACAAGGAGCTCAAAGGTTCCTAACCATGAAATCCAGGGTGCCCAGCATTTAAGCTTATATGAAAAAGTAAGTTTTTTGAGTCGCCCAAAGGCAAAAGTTATATAATTTTTTGGTTGCCTGTGGCACCTGGGCATTTCTAGATCCTCATGCTAAATCCTGACAGACTAATTTAAGCAGCCAACCCTCATTAAGTGTTCACTTCCAAGGATCAAGCCACTTAATAGGGGTTCAACTGTAGAAATTTGGCCCTCAGCCAAGAGGTGCCCCATGATCTGGCTTGATAAGCACAGTGTTTTAACAGCATACGTCACTGAATATCATTATCGTTGGTTTCAGAGATGATGCGGCAGCGATGGAAAGAATAGCCTATGAATTTTGTGAAGACCAATCATTGTGTGGTGTGCTATACTTTGAAGTTCGCTACAGTCCTCATCTGCTATGCACAACAGATCTTGAGCAACCAGAGGAAAAGCTTGTGTCACCAAGAGATATAGTGGAAGCAGTGAATAGAGGCTTAAAAAGAGGAGAGCATGACTTTGGGGTTATTGCACGGTCCATTCTTTGTTGTATGAGACACATGCCTGGTAAAATTGATTAATTTGTTTACTTGATATAATTTAAAGTGGGTTTAGGATTTTTTAATCGTTGGAATGCCTGTAGTATATGGTAACTTGTAAACTTAGTAATAAGTCTTGCATAACCTATCTGAATTGCATGCATGTGCAGATAGAGCTACAAAGATACACTAGTGTATAGGTCTTTTCAACTGGATTAATCTTACATGAATTTTCTACTGTCCTTTGACTAATTCTTGAACAACATACTGAATTGCCTCTCAAAAGCTCAAACACATAGAAAGTTTAATGATTCATCCTTTTCAGAAAGTTGCCACCTTGAAAGTGTTACAATCTGACAGTGTCAGAGTCTTTTAATGTCACATTATTTTGACAAAAAGGAGTAAAATCAAACAAAAAAAAAACGCAGGGAGAGTAATTGCACTTAAATTGCCATAACCATGAAAGTTTTAGGAATCAATTCCCTGACATTTTGTTGTAGATCAAAATTGTTACTGCCTTTGCAAATTTGACACAATTTGGGCAAATGTCATTCTATACCTTTTTAGGTCTTTGTCATCCCTAGTCCATTGAGTAGGCCAGTTGTACCTGTTGAAACCTCCCTACTACAGTCACCCCTCCTGCTACACTGGCTAGAAATGCTACTTCATTCTGATGTGCTCAGGGGGACCATTGTAGAGAAAGTGCACTGTACATTCTTATTATTTAAGGTACTGACAAGCATGTAATTCACTTATCTTGTTCTTAGATTGGTCATTAGAAGTTGTTTCTCTCTGTCAGGAGTTTGCCGATGATGGAGTTGTAGGAATCGATCTTGCGGGTGACGAATCACTTGGAGAGATTCCTGCCATGAAGGGACATGTTATTGCTTTTAAGGTTTGATTTTATCTCTCTTGTACGGTATACTATGTGTTTTACTTTGTTCAGGAACATTTTCAGGTCCTCTGCATAAATATTAAGGTCACAGTCTGTCCATCTGCCTGGCTGTTTGTCTGTCTGTCCATCTGTCTGTCGGTCTGTCCACCCATCCATCCATGTGTCCGTCCGTCTGTCCATCAGTCCATCCTTCCATCCGTCAGCCTATCAGTCCATCCATCCATCCATCCATCTGTCTATCAGGCTATCTGTCTGTCAATCCACCTGTGTGCCTGTCATCTGTTCATCCACCCATCCATCCGTTCATCAGGAGAGGGAGGGAGGAACCTAAAGTTGTTGTGTCCATTGTTTTCAAATTATTTTGTGATAAATTAAATGAGTATTTACAGATGGTGTTGCTTTCTTGTAGGAAGCCAGAAGACTGAACATTCACAGAACAGTCCATGCTGGAGAGGCTGCTCCAGCTGACAGTGTAAAAGAAGTAAGGAGTTAACATCTAATTTCTCCTAACATCATCAACACATTGTTTAAAAGCAGCCAGGTGATGAGACAAAAAAAATCATCAACAATGCAACAAAGTCTCAATATGTATATATGTACTCCCAAATGTTGAGAACTATCATAAGTAAAAATGCATTGCAATGATTTCTTTTTGGTTTAAATGTGCATGCATAATGTTGACGGTCCTGTACATCTACAAGATTCTCCTTACATCTTTTACAACCTAACCTTTAAGCTTTTAAGTCTGATCCTACCAGAGGTATGATGTAAATTTGCTAGCTAGTAACGGCTCAAACAACATTCTCTTATGATGTGGTCTTGAATACTGGTGATTCTAGGGCTGGAACTTTCAACTGCTACCAGATCTTGTCCAGATCCACAAGTAATATTGTTGTACCAACATTTACCACTCAATTGAAGGTTCATCGTATTTCAATCTGTTTTCCAAGGCATTAGATATTCTTCATGCTGAGAGAATAGGTCATGGATATCACGTGCTAGAAGACAATGCACTTTACAAGAGAATTATCGATGAGAGAATTCACCTGGAGGTTAGCAAAAGAGATCAGCATAAATAGTTGAATCTGACCTTAACTTAATAGAAAATTAGTGTAGTGGATCATCACAGATGGTATGGATGTTTGATAAGGGATGATGAATAGCCAATGAGTTATCTCACATCCAACAAGCCCAAATGGAATATTATTATTGTTTTTAACACTCGGAAAACATAGCAAACTGAAATAATATAAAAATAAAAACGCCCTCAAACATTATGCGTACACTTACTATATTTGAAGAGCTTGGTAAAATTGCTCATTATACCATGATGGCTAAGCCAATGAAAACTCTTGAATTGCATTATCCAATGAATCAGTTTTTCATTATAGTTAATCTAAACAAATACTTACAGGTATGTCCAACTTCAAGTATACTAACCGGTGCTGTGAAGCCATGTTTCAAAACACATCCACTTAGAAGGTATGTGAAACTATTGGGTGAAATATGGGAGTTGTGACTGAGTTACAAGTGAAGAGAAGCCATTTTAGTTGAAAGTTTTTCTCACGTGTCAAGCTTTTCAAGTCGGTGGGGTAGACTGCAGTGATACCTTTTGTTGCTTAGCAATGTGACCGAAAGAATTCGTTAAGTGTAGAGAAAATTAATTCAATATTTGAATGCAGTAATTCACATGGCGAATTTTGCGTTTTCAAGGTTTGTAGAAGATGGCGTGAATTTTTCTATTAACTCGGATGACCCTCTCATATGTCAGACAAGAGTGGATATTGAACAAGGTGTCGCTTTTGATCAGATTGGGCTGAGCCCAGCGGAATTAACACGTGCGGTAAGTTGTTTTTGAAAAATCAAACGGGTTAAACTTATTCGTAAGTCAAAGAGTGGCTTGTAAATACTATTTTGTTAATTGGCTTGTGATGACTTTTATTAAACTAACTCCCAAATAATTAGTCCAGTCTGGCCGATCAGAAAATTCCAAAAAATTGGTTACATGCGCTTGCCATTGGTTACATGTTTTCCCGCGCTTGCCATTGGTTACACGTTTTCCCGCGCTTGCCATAAGTGACATGTTTTCCCGCGCTTGCTATTAGTTACATTCTTTCCCGCTTTGCCATTGGTTAAAAGATTTCCCGCGCTTGCTATTGATTGCATGTTTCACCGAGCGTGAAGCGCCCTGGTTACACGCGCGTGCTTCAAATTCTGGGTTATTACGCTTGTCGTAGGTTTAGTTTGGCTTCAGTTTTGTGACAGCCATTGACGAAACGGCTGTGTCCGAATCCAGTCACTTTCATCATGCCACTTATTTTTCTTTTCATTCATTTCTAGACATTTAACGCTGCAAGAGCTTCGTTCCTTCCTGAGAAAAAGAAACGAGAAATTATTGATCAACTTAAACTAGCGCACGGGATCTGGTGATCTTAGAGAAAAAAATATACTAATTGTTGACAAGAGAAAATGAGGTTGATATATATTTTTGTGATTTTCACGCATAGATAGATTTATAGTGTTTTTCAAATAAGTCACAAAAATTTATAGTGAAGCTAAATAGATAGCTAACAAATACGGGAATTTATGTGTTTGTATTGGGTGGTGGGGTTGACGAAAGAAATTTAACGTACTTTCTGTTACAACAGTGGTGCCGGTTCACACTGAATATTACGATTTACCCTCGGAGTCTTCGTCATCGAATCCTGAACTGAAGTGTTATAAGATTTATTATTTGCCAAGATCACTCAACAAAGTTTATGCACTATGAAAATATGCGTCAAACTCAGTACTTAGTAAGTTTGCTGACCAAGTTTCCTCTGAATTGTAGTTTTGGAAAATGCTATCGCGAAGATGTCATAAAACTGTGCTGGCTTTGTGTTATATATGATTTCTTTGTGATGCATTTGCTGAGGATAATAGTAAAAATTGTTGGTCATCACTTTCAGTTCTTTAGCCAGGTAAATATTTAAAATGTATACCCAAAATAGTGCATGCTTTGATTACAAGGAACCGGTATGTTCCTTGATTTTTTCAAGCAGAAAGTTTTGAGCGATTCGGATAGCAAAAAGCGGGAGAGTTACTGAAATACAAATTACTGAGAAATTTTCTTGGTATAACAAGATTTGTTATTTGCTAATTCTTGTCTTGTGTGTCTTCATGGAATGTCTACTACAAATCTGTGCCTTATTTATGAGAGCCAAACTTTTGAAACCAGTTTTACTTGTGTAAGAAATATTTGGTATGGGGACATTGTTGAGGGTGGTAAAGGGGGGGGGGGGG